GATTGCAATTCAGTCACATAAACATAAACATGTAATCAGATCTTCAGAATCCGTAGACAATAGTGTCATCAAGAAATGAATGGTCATGTCTTGGAGTGGATCCAATCAATACAAACCTGTTTTTGTCGTAGGGGTCGAAATTTGCTGCCATTGATTGCCAAACAATTGGTAAATGAAAACTTGTTATAACGTAATCAATGCTATAATCAACACTTTTAGGACACAAACTGTAATCCTATGCAACAGTTCAGAGAAGTGTTGACTAACTAACAGCTATAAGGAGTGAATGATAAGTAAATAGACATTGATTTGAATGATAATTCATGAAGTGTTGAATGCATTTGCAGTGAGTTTTCCGGAGGATATTAATAGCGATTCACATTAAACCCATTCACAGTCACACTGACGACCACACGAGTGTTCACTGTATTATTCAGTGTAAGAGTCGACTGTTGACTGTCGACCGCCTTTCACACAAACATTGCTTCACCCAATCCGTAGACATACTATGGCATCGATACTGCACTTCAATGTTCAACACAATGTTAGACATAGACTGTGACCGCATTGCCACTCATCACACCCACTGACGGCCACTCACATTGAGTCCACTGTCACATCAGTCGCCGTCCAATCAATTCAATCGCACTCACAGTCACTGCCGTCCGCTGTAGTGACCGCTGCGATACAATCGATAAAATACCGATACATCGATAGTATCGTATCGTTTGAATGAAAATAAAAATACAATTTCTCTGTTTTGTATGATTTGTATGAATGATAATGTGATTAACAAGCGATTCACTGCTCATTCAGACAGTGATTTGCACGCAAACACACGTCCACTGCATGTCATGTCTTCACTCAATGCCTGTCCATCGCCTCTACGACCAGTTCCGCAGTTCTTCAACGACTGCAACAACGCTTTCACCACAAAAAAAGTATGTTTTCACTCATGAGTTCATTTGATGCCTAATTAATGGTTAATTGTGGTGTTGAAGGCCCGGTACAACTCGACGCCCACTGCCAAGAAGGTGCCCCCCAGACCCCCCTCCAAGACTGTGCCCCCCATCAGCCGCTTCTTCAGACGCCCCAACCATTCGGCCG